GAGAAAGGGCAAGTAGGGGATTCCAAGGTTCCTTAATTAGAGACTATAAGTCTTCCCATTTCAAAAACTCTAAATATCAATAAACTAGGCCCATTTGAAAGGAGTGAGACTTTTGGCATGCTTAGAATAGGAATCATAACTCGAACCTATAAAAAAAATGGAATAAAAAGGAAAAGGAGTGGAACATACCTTCTTAGGTTTCGTCGGTTTGTTGCCCTTGTCCTTGTACTCTCGAATAAGGGGCAACACTAGTGTCAATATTTTGAGCCTCATCTTTCTCATTCCCGACATTCATAACTAGTGAGCGAAGGTGCCCTTCCTCAACATTAGATTTAGAAGAGAATGAGGAAGTAGAAGGGATATAGAACATTCTACTTGAAGGAGTTGAAGAAGATGAAGGGATAAAAAAGAACTTAAACCTTGGAAATTATGGGAAATGGTTAGTAGTAGAGGCGGTGTGTGAATGTTGATAAAATGATTATTCCCTACATTAATATGAGATTGAGTGGGGGAAACAAAAAGGGTTAAATGTGGATGTAAAAAATTACCCATATTCTTGGAAATTGAACCAACAAATGTGAAAAGAATTATTTCTTTTTACATGTAAGAAAGACTTCCACACATGTAAGAAAAGAGAACATATGTTATATCTAAATTTATTTCAGACCTAAGCCCAATAAATTGGATATAGAAATTGAGAAAGACCTATCAAGTTCTTTTAATGGGTTTAATGTTTGGTCTCACTTAAAAGCTTAACGGGTTCATTCTATTAAAAAAAAAAGGCCATTTGCTAGCTTATTAAGCCCAACACATGCATAAAAGGCCAATTAGTTATTCCAAGTGAGATTGCTAGAACCCTCTCGAAACAAATAGAAGATAGAATTTTAATTAGTAAAGCTAAATAAAACATGGAGAAAGTCCTATGTGAAACAAGGCAAATGTTCAACAATAAAATAGTGTATAGATAGTTAAAAAATAATAGACCTTTGATAATTATAAAAACATGATCCATATGAGTTAAAAGGAACATGAGAAATTATAGCACGAGAAAAAGAGAGTAACATATTGCAGCAGAAGAAAAGAAAAACATGAATGCATTATAGTGTAAGGAAAGAAGAACATGTAATACTATAGCCTACATTGAAGAAAATGGCCTATTATTGGAGGTTATGGGGGACAGAGAGCCTATGAATATGATGCAATTAGAAAGAAAAACATACAAAACAATATCAAAACACAAGCAAACTCTTACAAATTGCAAATAGATCAAAGAGCACTATCACAAGTTTCACACTTGAAACTTGATAGGCGATAACTCGATATGCGATAACTTATAGGCATTAATCAATAAATGGTAATTAGTAGGCTGATAATTTATAACTAGGCTACTAATTGATTCTTGATCTTCCGTTCATGCTCACAATCACCATCATTCCTAGTTCTCGTTGCAACTGTTATTCTAGAGCATCCATGTGTGAATTCTCACATTTGTTTTTATTCAATTCAACATTGTAAATGCTGCAATATTGCTTTATAAAATTTTCTAATTTTCAATTGTCAAATTTTTGCTCATATTGCGGTGTGTTGTTCTTAGTCTTTAACTCGCTTAATTTCTTCATTTTATAGTATAATCATGTTATTTTGATTGTATATTAGATTAGAGAGTTTGAGTTGTATCCTAATTAATATTTTATTTCAAGTTATTTGCTCTCCAATCCTACTCTCCAACTAGCTTAGGAGGTCACGATTTCCTCGTAAAAAATTTTCAAGCCAATTGCGGCCCATTTAGGTTATTTGAATTTAGTTTTTTCTATGACAAACAGCGAAAACAAGATAAGTAATGACATGTAATAATTAAAAGATAAAGCTAAATAAATTATCAACACACGGGATTTACGTGGTTCCGCAAATTGCCTGCTCCACGGATGAGAAGGAAGTTTTATTAGCTTGAAAATAAGAGAATACAAGAACCTTGGAGGCTCAATACAAAGTCTCTATCTTTCACTTTATTTGCTAAACAAAGACATAAGGAGGTTTAAATACCTCATACCTATAAAAGAAAAAACCTAATGGGCTAAATATATTATTGATCTATAAAATTCAAGCTACACACAACAATTTTCTTACAACGCTAAATTCCAAAAAATAATTAGGATTAGTGGTAGTTTATATTTACAAATTAATGTGGTATAATTAGGATTAGTGGTAGTTTATATTTACAAATTAATTTGGTTCATCTACCTAAACAATTGGGTGATTGACTGTCTTGGAGAACACATTTCAATCATCATTTATTTTTTTTTGTTACAAAATCTTTTTGGTTGAAGATGAAGGGAAAAACCACGCAACATGAGGTATGTGCTAGTGCACTCTCAAGATCTCCAGCTGGGACTGCAAACTATTTCTGTATCTGGCAAATTCGGCTTATGACTTCCGTTGCGAGTACATGATCTGTTTGGCTTGACGTGAACAAAGTTATGTTTGATAATCAGGGAGGCACGCAGAATATTGGAAGGAGATCTTTTGTATTGTCTCATCATGGAGGAACGCCATCGACAATGACGACAGATAGCTTGCCTTACGTACAACTAATCAAGCTTGCCTTAATTTGCCTCTGTAGGCAGCAAGATCCCACCTGATGTCACTTTAGTACCATCTTGAACTTGCTACAAGACTCTACGATATCTAGATATCAAGATACTTTATGTCCAAACACCTGGCGTTGACATGCAGCGCAAACAATATTTTTCGTTTAAACACTCCGGCCAGAATCTCACTAGATAACCCATTCTGCTAATTCGCACATATATTTTATTGAAGTAGGATAAAGCCGCCAGATTATCCACTTTGTTAGATGTTTAGGGGACATCTCACATCTCAATCTTGTCTTGTGATCAGCAAACAAAGCCATTTAAGCCAACTTACATCGATATATAGCTTAACTGTATTATATTCGAGGGCCATACAGAAGTCATAAGTGAATTATTAATTTGGATTATAAAAAGCCACGCAGGATTAGGAAAATAAGGAACGTTATGATGGTCTACAATTTTCTCTCAAACAACAGAAAGCGAATATATCCGAATCACTGGAATATGCATAGCAAATCTGCATACAGTCGGCATCCCCAAGCAAATGTGCCAGGACCAATACTCTCAAAAAATACGAAACATATATATATCCGAATATTGTTGTAGAAAGTTAAGATCAGGGATGCGCTGGGTACAAAATAGATAAACTAGCTCGTCCATTAATTATTTTTTAAAAATATTTTATTGATTAATGAGCTATAAAATAAAATTATCTATTTATGTTAATGAATAATTTATTCATGAATATAAATATTGTTTTTTACTCATTTTTTACTCATCAACATAAAAAAATATTAAAATATAAAATTTATAAAAAAATGATTTTTTTTTAATGCAATAATATAACATGTTAAAGGTCCCAAAAAAAAAAAAAAACCCAGTCTCTCTGAAAAAAGTTGGTTTGAGATAACCATTATTGTTAAAGTAAAAAAAAAAAAAAAAAAAAAAAGAAAAAAAAAGACAAAGAAAAAGAAGTTTGAAATCTTAGTGTTTTAGTTCCATATTTACCCATGGTGAGGTGGTAAATCTTATTTATTAAAATACGGCATTATTAAACTTCCTTTCCAGAAGTATTTTTCGTTACACAGTCACCTAATTAACATAACAAATATTTTTAATGCCATGTTAGCATATATTTAATTTTTTTAAAAAAGATTTAAATACTGAATAAAATAAATAATTAAGCTTTTGCAGAATTCTTATGACTGCTTTTCTTTTTGTAGATTACTTTTTCTTAAACAACTTATGACAAAAATGAATTAAAACTTAAAAAATGAATTAAAATTTAAATAATTTTTCTTTTATAGAACAGGAGCGAAGTTTTATGGCTCCATAACTTTTCAAATCAAAATTTTGCTCTTTTAACATTTTGATGAAAAAAAAAAATAGAATCATTTTTTAATTGATTCAAAATGAATTTGAAATTTCATCAAAGGAATTTCTCCATTAAATATTTGCAATAATATATCAATTTAAATTGGTCAACATTTTCTACATGTAAAGTTTTTTTTTTTAATTACCAAAGTACAATGCCTTAATAAGCTGTCAAATTCATATCTTAATGTGACTAAGATTTTAAACTGAGTTAACTTCAAAATTAATTTGAAATTTCATGAATGAAAATTATATTCAATGTAAAATTTTATGTTAATGATTAATTGAAATTAACTACCAATAGTTTACTTATTTATACATTCAGAATTTATAATTTATTTTTTTTTCAGTTTTTAAGGAGGAAATCGATTTTATAATATTTTTTACAAAGAAAAAAAAATTAAAAGGTAGAGAGGGAAGCAGGCCTACATATTTTTTTAAAAACGAAATTAAAACTTAAAAACTGAGTTAAAACTTAAAAAATTAGCAGGTAAATAGATATAGGCAAGATATGAGCATGGTACGATATAATGAGTATGGTACGATATAATGAGTATGTACTGAATAAAGAAATGGAAAAATAATTTTTTGGCTTAATGGGCTGGATATCCAGCCGATAGAAATCTGTAGCTAGAGAACCGAAAGTTAATTACCATACTATGAAGAGAAATGTTCCTACTATGACAACTTTGATGCAGGGCATATCTATGGTACATCTTCTATCTAATCGGGTTGAAATACTTACAATCTGCAGGATTATACACTGGTAAGAAAGTCGTGAACATTAGTGATTGTGACCAAGGTCAAAACAGAACTGGCATCTCACATATTGAGGTTGAGAAGTTGCTGTAATCTGCAAGAACTTCATCTTTAACTCTCGCTCTTGTAGATCAAGCAAGCAATGTCATCTTTAAGAAGTTGTGGAGGCATCTCAACCATTTGTTCATATACGTAAATACATGCTTTAAACATAGATTACCTATCATATCGCATAAGAGAACATTAACGGCAGATTAGATGCATATACCATTACAATCAGGGGATTGATCCAACACAGCCAGCTGCATTCCCCACTAACTCCGTTGCACATCCACCCCACATTCGTGGCTTCCCAATCAAATCCTCCAGTTCAAGGTAAAGTTTTGAGTCATCAACATCTACCTCTTCATCAACCAAATTCTCCATCACCGAACTGTCATCCAATAGCTTCTCTGACATAAGATTATAAACAGAAGACATATTTTGAGTGTCCATTTCAAACATTACATTTGCATTATGATCTTGAAGTATTGGACTGCAAAACTCATCACTCATGGGAGCTGGAAACAGTTTTGACGTTTGGCAGGTCTCGACATCCTCAGTTAAAATCTCAGTAAGTTCGGTTTGCATTGTGGTCAATTGTTCCTGAGCATGGTTTCGGTTGGTATCCAAAGCACCAGGCAAGCTTTGAGGGACTCGGGTTTGAAGCAGTCGTCTTATCTTGCGAAATTCAATCCCATCTAGCTTCCCTTGTTGCTTTCTCTTCTGGATTAATTGTTGAATAAAGCCAGGATTTTTGGCAGCTTTGGTAAAGAAAATAAACATCCGCAATTGCTTGAACTCTGCAGCTTGAATGCGATCTTCAACAGCATTCAGTTGAGTTTGCGACTCCTGCTGCTGCTGTCTAATTTTCAAGATTTCCAGCCTTAAAACATCTTGATCATCCTTCAAATTTTCAAGTTCAGCTTCCACACCAGGTTTTGTTGGATCATTAATGCCAGTCAGCGTTACATTTTCCCTTTGCTGTTTGTTATACCTGCTTCTCCTCTTGATGGTCTTGAGCAAATGCCTCTTCCCACCGTGAAACCCTTCATTTGCAAACTCCCATCTATCCGAATCAATCTTTCTAAAGCCCTGTCAACATTTTTGCACCATATATATATATATAAGAAACATAAATTCACAACACAAGCAACGATAATGTTTAAAAAGAAAAAAGAAAAAGAAAAAACAGAGTCACGTTGTCCATTGCTGTAGTGGGACACAAAAAGATTGATTTAACACGGAAAACATTTACAAAACTCAACGAAAAAAAAAGGGGGTTCAAATTAAGGAAAGGAAGACAGTAAATAAATTAAAAAAGAAAACAAATCCTGTGATGCAATCAGTCAAACACATGAAAAACAACCAAAGTACTAGGCAGATAATAAAAAAGATAAAAAAAGAAACACAAATTACTCTATTAATTAGCAATGAAATTAAAGATTGATTAAGCAAGGAAAGCAAAAATGAATTACTCACATAGGTATTTAGTTGGCGAATGAAGCTGGAGAAATTACTGTGCTTGAAGTACTTAGGGAGTAGATTCTTAGAGAATTCATGAGAGTCCCAAACAATGAAACTATCATGATTCTTGCTCCACGACACTGTTTCATCGGTTTCCGAATCCTCCACCATCTCAAATGTCTTCTTTAGAAACGGAGGTGGACCTGTCTCGTGTAAACCCTCCATTGGTTTTGGTAAACCCACAGAGGAACACGAAGACGACGATATTCCATTGTGATTAATGCTAATATCGCCACTGCCACCTCCCTTCAACTCATTGAGACTACCTATATGATCTTCTTCGTCTTCTACTTTGACCGTCACTGCTGGTGCTTTGATTATTTTCTCCTCCTCTACCTCCACCTCTACTTCTACCTCTACCTCTACCTCTACTGCAGCTTTCTGTATTTCTCTGGTATTCATCGACGATGATGATGAAGATGAAGGGCCACCGCCTCCACCGCAAGAAGTGGTGTCGTGTAAAGGAGACATATTATTCTCTTCACCCACTTTATCTTTCTCTGATTTTATTGCATTTCTCAATGACTGATCATCTTCCAACATGGGTTTTGGTAACATAGTTGTTGTAGAAAATGATGAAGAAGAAGCAACGGCAACACTGTCGCCGACAAAATCGCCACAGTCAGGAACCGCCATTTTGAAGGACTGGGTAGAGCTTGGCGAAAGAGACCGTGCTTATAAATGCAATAAGTGTGTGTGACGCTGAGGGTGGCACTGTAACCATTTAAAGAAAGAAATAAAGGATACGTGCCACGTTCCCTTGTTTTTCCCATTTGTATATATGCTATGCCTCCACATAATTCAAGTCCCTCGACTCTTTATAAACTTCGTTATTGACCACCTTCTACTAAAGTAAATACTTTGCATTGCATGCCATCTATCGGACTCTTCCGTATTCACCAACCTTCACCACCGCTGTTATTAGTTGTTATGAGGAGAAACCTTAGTTTAGTACTAAATTTCTATATTCATTCTCAATTGCATGGTAAATTTATAAATTTTATCTATTAAGTGTAAAATGTTATAAATATTTCTCAATTGTTTGTCTATCTCTTTTTCAAATTTAAATTAATATGTATATCTTCTCAACTAAAATGACGGCGATTTTCTTAAGAAAATTTAATAACTTATATATTCATGAAAAATAGTCTCTACACGTGTCCATCCAATGTAATGATGCGTATGCTACTAATAGGATGACCACACATGATCACAAAATAGCTTGGATGAGGAAATGTTCTCTCAAATAAGATTCATCATTTTTTTTTCAAACAGAGATGGTACCTTAACAATTTATTAAGATAAATCATGGAAAAAAATATAAAGGGGGACAAATCTAACCTAACCCAACAAAGCCGAAAAGGTGAGGAAGCTTAAATCTTGAAACAATACCGAGTTACCATCCGAATTATAAGGACCTATTTTAACAAATCTACATACTATTTGAACATAAAGAGGTGACTTAGCATAAAATATAAAAATACAATGATCATCATGTTGAAAAGCCTCATTTGTGAAAATGTAAGCTACCATGTTTGTTCCATCTAAACAAGAGATATTGCATGATTACATAGCTCTATGTGGAGATTCATTTGTCCGAAAGTCACATAGTCCCATTTTTTTCATCAAAAAGAGCAGATCGACAAGATAAATGGAGCTCATTAGCCAAATAAATCACTTTGTATGAGTAATGTTGAAAGGCCCAATCAACAAGTCTATCCGTAACCGTATTGCCTTCTCTAAAGGTGTGTTGAATTATACTTTCAAAACTAATCCTCATCCAACACAATCTAAAAGTCTAACACGGATGTCAAGGAAAAGATAATGATCAAGAGAGGCATCCAATTACTAAGGAGGAATTAGCTTCTATACTATCAAAATGCAAATTATGTTTAGTACATAATCGAATACCATATAATACGGCTAAAGCTTCCCCCTTTGAGTTAGTCTCGAGACCATATAAGCGAGTTAGTCTCCGGACTATAGAAGCTGAAAAAATCCATTATCAAGTTACCTATATCATCGTGCGGAATGCCATCACCACTACGGATATTATTCGCGATGCTCCGTCCGTATTCAATGTCAATTTCCTCGAAGGAGGAAAGATTCACTTAATCTACCTCCCCAATGTAGGAGCAATAGGTTTCTTCTAAACTCTCAAAACCCACAAGCATCGGCCATCATGAAAGGAGATATTCCTATTTGGAATAAAAAGGCGTGTTAACTCAATAAGCCAATTTAACACCTTATGTTTGATATTAATCCACTTCATACTCTCATTCTCAAACATCGTTTTATTTCTAGCTAACCATAATTCCAATAGAATACAATTAAACATAATCATTCATGAGAAGGATTTTTAGAGTAGATGGTACCTTGCGGAAGCCAGAAGTGACCAACCGTAAGAAATTTACATTATCTAAAGCAACATTAAGAACATAACTAAAATAATTCCAAAGCCGACTTGTGAAAGTACTATGCAAAAAAGATGATCTCTAGTCTCCTTCTTTGCGGATACACGGTATTGACATTTAGAAACCAATGAAATTCTACAAGATTGTATGTTAACCTCCATTATCACCGCATTGTGCAAAAATTTCCAAACAAATACACCAATCTCTCTTGAAAACCATTTATTCCATAAAATTCAACACCATTCAAACTTTGGAGAGACTAATTTGTTGGCCTCATGATAGGCTTTAAAGTTATAGACACCATTTGCTAAATCTATATAAAAGAGCATGTTATTCAAACCCTCATCCAAAACCACAAGATCTAATTCATTTCTCACTAATTATGATAAAGACATATAAATGGAATGATCTCTTTTGGCTTGTGATAATCGGATATTCAAATCAATCGTAGGAGGTGGCAATGCTTGTCATAGTCCCATCTATCTATCTAAAGCAAAATATTAACTCTATCATCCACCCAAAGAGAACTATCCAATAAGGCATCAATATGGGGTAATACGGTTCTCTAAACAAGAGAGCCCCTTCTATGGTTAATTAATTCAAACAAAGTTGGTATACCATATTTCATCCTAACAAAAGTACTCAATAGAGATGAACCCATTAGGTAAGACCAAGTAAGTTTCCTTTTTATAGTACTCATAACCTCTTTCAAGTTTTTAATGCCCAAGCCACCCTTTTCTAAGAAAAAGGATATAGTCCTCCAATTCACCCGAGTAATGTTTGCTTTCCCTTTTCCTACCCCGGAGAAGTTAGAGATGTAACCTTTTATACGAGCCAAGGTAGTTTTTAGTATCGGGAGAACACTTATGGTATAGATCGGAATAGATGTAAGCACACTTTGGATTAACGTTAGTTTACCACCCATAGATAATAGCTTACCCTTCCATCTTGTTAGTTTATCCTTAATCTTATTTTTCAACTAAAAGAAATATTATATTCTTACTCTTCCTTTAAAAAAAGGCATACCCAAATACAAAATAACATTCTCGGACAAAGAAAAGATAGTCCAACTCGACATCGGATGCTTCCTATTAGGAGGCCATTTAGAACCGCAAAGGATTGAGCTCTTTCAAAAATTGATCACCCGACCACTAGCAATTAAATAACGATGCAAGTGAGACATCAATTTTTCAATAGAGCTCTTACAACCATTACAAAAAAAAAAGCATATTATCTATAAAAATTAAGTGATCGATAGTAATGGAATTACATCCAACAAAATAAGGCATAATAACATGATCCTTAACAAGAGCATTTAGGTGTCTACCGAAAACTTTTTATCGTAAGAATAAATAGATCAAGAGATAGTGGATCCCCTTACTTGACCCCATTAAAGGACTTAAAGAAGCCAAAATATGAATTCAAGAAAAGAGAATACCGGTAGTTACTCAAACATTTAAAAATAAGATCACACTAGGTGTTTGAAAATCTAGAATTTCATATCACCTTGAGAAGAAAGAACTAATCCACCTTTCATCGGCTTTTGACATGCCCACTTTAAAAAACACATTACCTCCATAGGCTTTCCTATAAATCTCATGAAATAACTCCTAGGCTAGAGCAACACTCTCATAAATCAGCCTCTCCTTCATAAAACCCAATTGCTTTTTGTAATTAAGGTTTGATAACACAACACTTAGTCTCGTAGTAAGAATGCGAGAAGGAATTTTATAGGAAAAATTGCATAAACCGATAGGCTACATATTAGAAAAATTTATAGGACACTTAGGAATCAACATCATAGACATACCTGGTCATCACTTTCGATATATCCCCTCTTTTAAAGATACCTTCTATCACAAACACTACATCTAAGCAAATTATATCCCAAAAAACCTAAAAGAAAACCCTTGAAATTCCATCCAACCTTGGAGCACTAGGAGCATAAGATCAAAAACTATTGATTTAATCTCTTCCAAAGAAGGGATATCCATCAAATCTTGGTTTTAAGCATCAATAACCAAAGATGGAACAATGTCCGAAAAATCTACTTCTATAGTAGTAGCTAATGATGGCAATCCAATCCGTCCCGCCCTAGATGGGGCATGAAATTTTGCTAAAACGGGGCACGGGGCGGGGATGGGTTTTTTTTTTTTGGGCGGAGCAAGGATGGGGATGGAGATCCCCACCTCGTCTCGCCCCGCCCTATTTAGGGCAAGGATAAGGAGCGAAATTTCACCCCAAACGGGGCATGGGGCGAGGATGGCTTTTTTTTAGGGGACGAGGTGGGGATGGGGATGCCGATCCTCGCCACGCCCTACACCATTTTCATCCCTAGCAGTAGCTCCCATCGAAAAGATTTTTAAAAATAGTACACGATCGCCTTACTAACAACCTCATCATCGGATATAAAGAGCTATCATCAAAAGCTAGATCATATCCGGAGTTTAAAAATGATTACTAAAACAAGTATGAAAAAAAAAGCAATGTTACAATCTCCCATTTCAATCTATTTGATATGGAATTTCTCTTGAAGAAGTAATTTCTCATGATCCATCAACTTAGCCAGAGTTATCTTTGGCCTCTCGTTAATTTAGTATAATTATCATTAGATAATAAAAATTAAAATATAACCTCCATTTGTATTATCTCATCCTTATTACGGTTAATTTTCTAGTAAATATCACCAAAAACCTTTCAATTCCATGACTTTAAGGCTCCTCGAAGAGACTTAAGTTTTAGCTGTAAGTTAAGAAATGGACTCCGGCTAAAATTGGTAGACTACTGTTGTTGCACAAAAGGTAAGAAATCGGTATTTGATAACCATATTTTCTTGAAAAAAAAATCTTGTTAGCTTAGAAATGACCGATGTGAAGGACAATAACGAAAGGGCGATGATCGAAGTAGAGGCATGCAAAATGAGTACATATCACCCTAGGAAAATTAACTAAGAAAGTAGGATTAACCAAAACCAAAACCAAATCAAGTCTCTTCCAAATTTGTACCCCTTCTTGGTTAGTATATCAAGTGAACTTGCTCCCATTAATTCGAGTATCTTGTATCATAAGGAGTTGAATGCCGCTGTTAAAATCAACCATAGAACCCATATCTAATTGTGTACCACCAACCTTTTTCAAGGGCACTACAATGGTATTAAAATCACCCATAATAATCTAGGAAAGAGAAACATTAAGAGAATAAAGATTATCCTAAAAGTTCCTA